CCTCGTTGCCCACCTGGATTAGTCTTTTCAGATCCTACGAAAGTATCGAATGAAGCTCAATTCTTTAAAGTGCACTTTTGGGGTATCTTCAGGCAAGTTCCTTGGATACATAGTTAATCAAAAAGGCATCGAAGCGAACCCTGAAAAGGTCAAAGCTTTGATTGAGATGAGGTCACCCCAAAAGCCAAAGGAAGTTCAAAGCCTCACTAGGAGGACAGCAACCTTAAATCTCTTTATATCTAAAGCGCCAGAAAAATGCTACCCCTTCTTCAAAGTTCTCAAGGGGAGAACAAGTTCCAATAGATGGAAGAGTGTGAGGTGGCCCTGCAGGAATTAAAGAAGCACCTAGGACAATCCTCTATTCTTTCCAAACCGACACACCATGAGGTATTACAATTATATTTGGTAGTAACCCCTGAGGCAGTAAGCTCAGTTCTGATAAGGAAGGAAAACAGCCATCAGCTACCAGTTTACTATGTCAGTAAAGCGCTCATCGCCCCTGAAACACGATATCCTGACATGAAAAAGCTGGCCTTCTCCCTAATTATAGTCTCGAGGAAACCGAGGCCCTATTTCCAGGCCCATAGCATACATGTGATAACTAATTACCCCCTCAAACAGGTGCTTCAAAAACCTGATGCTTCAGGAAGACTGCTTAAATGGGCTGTGGAGCTTAGTGAGTTTGACATCAGTTACAAATCGAGGACAGCTATCAAAGGGCAAGCCCTGGTTGATTTTGTGGCAGAATTTACCCCCGCTCCAAACAACGAAGAAGAAACGAAACCCATCGAACCTCAGATATGGAGGCTTCCTGTGGACGGATCTTCTGGAAAGACTGGTTCAGGGGCAGGAATCATATTGGTCAGCCCAGAAGGGCACAAACTCACTTGTGCAGTGAGGTTCGGCTTTAAATCAACTGAGTACGAGGCTCTTCTAGCTGGTCTCCGACTGGCGAAGGAATTACAAGTAAAAAAGCTCATAATCAACTGTGATTCCCAATTGGTGGTCAGCCTAGTCCATGAAAATTATTCTACCAGGGACAAATCTATGGAAGCTTACCTGAAGGTGGTAATGAGCTTCGTTCCTTCATTTGAGAGGTTCGAACTGATGCAGATACCAAGGTCGTACAACATTCACACTGATGCATTAGCAAAGTTAGCAAGTAGCAAAAACTCAGAATTACTCATTGTGGTTCCAATTGAGCACCCCACCAAGCCTTCAATTGAAGTCAGCGACACAGTAATGTGGATAGAGAGTGCACCCATCTTGATGAAATCTATCATATCCTATCTAAAGGATCAGATCCTACCTTATCAGAAGAAAGAAGCTCAGAAGCTACGGATAAGGGTTGCCCACTTCATCCTCCAA